CTGTATATGTTTTCTCTTTCCAGCATGATTTAGGCTTCCTGAAGACTTAAAAAGAAAGGATTATTATGCAAACGCCACACACATGCACAAAAGACAAGTGAGATAAGACAAGTTGATAAAAACAAATGTTTTATTTGTTTTATTTTATTAAAAAATTTAAAGTATTGAAAATATTTCTTGAAATTTTAAGACACAAGGCACATACCATAGAAAAAAAATCAACAACCAGAGACTGCATTTTGGTAATTACATTATCATTTCCAGGCTTGAAAACCATGTGTTCATATATGTTCGTCTTTGGTGCATGACACTCCATTTCTTAAAGGCACATTATAGCATAAGAAAACAATTATATAAACTTATTTAATGTTTTTATTATTTATAGAAAAGAAACAAAATTTAAAAGACAAAGCTTTTTTTCCCCCCCATGGTGTACCCCCTAACAACTTGGGTTATTGATGTTCCAAAGAACACAGTTTGGGAAACAGTAATTCAGATAATCAGAGTCAGATGGAAAAATCAATGGTTGTTTGGCTTACTTCACAATATCCTTAAATCACATAGTCTACCCAAAAATAGCAACTTGAATAAACTCAAGTCTGAGACGTGGTCTAACAGTGGGGCAACTTATTCCAATGGCCAAGCAAGTAGATAGATACATAGGGGATTCATTAAACCATAATTTATTTCATGGAGACCAGATCATCATGTGTTTAGGCGTCTTTAAAGATACTTAAAAGCACTTGGAAAAAGGGCAGTGCATAAAATGAAAAACAGATGTTTTTCCTCTTAAAAATCAAAACACTCCTAACCCCTTTCTTAGCTCCCAGCTCTGCTCAAGCTTTCTTGATGAGACAACTGTTCCTATCCAATTCATATGCAATCTAAGAAGACTAACTTTAATGAGTCCACATTTTTTAACTTTAAGACTTCTTGCCACTGTTCATACCAACAGAATTCCGCAACCTTTCCAGCCTCATAAGCACATTTATCCCAGCTAGAAGCTGCTTAACTCTCCCTGCATGTGTACACGGCTCTCTCTATAACATATTTTATTTTTAAAAATCTAAACCTTTATTCCAGATCTTTTATATTTCCACTACAATTTGAGATTCAACAATTTACACTTATTAAAAATAATGCTGGGCCGGCCGAGTGGNTACTATATGTGGGAGTTTTATAATACCATGATTAAGAACTCAGTCACTGGAGACAAAGTACTATTTACTGGGTGGCTTATGAGCTACAGAAACTTATTTGTCACAGTTCTGGGGGCTAGAAGTTTCAGATTAAGGTACCAGCAGATTCGGTATCTGGTGAGGGCTCATTTTCTTGTTCATAAATGGCCATTTTCTTGCTGTGTCCTCACATGATGGAAGGGGCAAAGGAGCTCCCTAGAGTCTCTATTATAAGGATACTAATCCCATTCATGAGGGCAGAACCTTTCAAAGGCCACACCTCCAAATTCCATCAATTAGAGATTATATTTCAATATATGAAGTGGGGGGTGGCGGACACAAATATTCACGTCCTAGCTAGCCTCTACTAAGAATGTGACCTTAAATATCTTTCTAAATCTAAGTTTCAGCATCTGAAAAATATGGAACAATTATATTACTTACTCAGATGATTTTTAGAAAGATTAAATGAGATAGTGCCTAGAAAATGCTCAATAAACAAAATTTATTATTATTGTAAGGCAGTAGTTTGGATTGAAGAAAAAGGAGGAAATAAAATATCTCCTCTTAAGGAGTTCATAGGCAAATAGATAAACAGTTAACTATAATAAGAACAAGAATAAAATATACTATAATAGAACTATAAGCAAAATGTTTTGAGAAAAAAGAAAATAAATTCTCCCTAAGGTTTTTGGAGAAATTTTCATTAAAAAAAGAAATGTTTTAGTTAAGGCTTGAGAATAAGTTGGATTCCACTCATCAGGGAGGGACTAAAAAATCAAGTCTACTGAAAATATAATCTCATAAACTCACAGGCTATGCAAAGCCACCCAATAATGGCCTGTTCCAGTACATTCCTACTAACCAATGCTGCCTTGGAACATGGTAATTAGCATCAAGTCCTAAAGGATTCTCTCTGGAGGTGCCATTTCAGGATTTTTCCCCAATAGCTCATCCCTCAGGAGTGCTCTTTTCTTGAATTTATCCTCTTTTGGAGGGCATGGTGATTGTATTTTTCAATGTGATGATTCATTCAGTATGTGTAGGACTTTTTAAAAATGGTGGCAGTTTAAGAATCTACCTAATTCAAACCAACATTTCTATGAAAAACTCTTTCAAAAATTCATCCCAGCATATTTGAATGATCTGGTCACCCTTTCTCATGTATTGAGTGGCATCTGTGTGAAAGAGCCCAGTATCCACAAATATTTTGCTTTGACATTGTGGATCAAAACAAATCAACACCTCCCTGTATTTAAAGCTCTCAGGCGCTCCCTTCTCCTTTGTCTCCTGTCCTCTGCAATTTGCTTTTTCTTAGAGTCAGTCACTTATCTTTTATCCTCAGTAAGGTTTGGTGCTCTGGCTTAATGCACTGGATCACTTGGTATCGGGGGGTCAGATGTAAGGTGCTGAGATGAATTTCAAGTTTCCCAGACTCTATCTCCCCTGATTCTAGATTATTACAATAGCCTTTTACCTGGTTTACCTGTCTGTAGTTCCTCCTTCTTCCAGTCTCTCCTCCCTCCAATTGCATAATCAATTTTACCTAAAACTGATTCTATCACCCTGATTGAAAGATCCCTACTGTTTGTCCTATGAAATTTAGACCCTAAGCTCTGTGTAAAAAAGAGGTTCCCACTCAATTTCTGAAACAAGGAGCTAAATTTATTGCTTGCTAAGCAAAACAGAACTGTGCTTGTAGGGCACAGGCTCCTTAAACAAAGAATTTCGCTGATGTTACATAGGGTTTGAGGAAGTGGTACGTTTCAGGAATTTGGGCTTTTGGCAGTGAGAATTTGCAAAACTTTAAACATGGAAGTACAGTTATTGGAGTAACTGATTGGCTGACTTTCAGAAGTGTGAGATTATCACTGATTGACTAACTTTTAGCATCATGGTCACTGAAGCACTGAAGCAAAAGTTGTCAGTGGTCAACTGGGACAGATTTTAATTTAGTTCTAGTAGTTTTTTATTCAAGGCTTGANCTAACACCAGCGCCGCCTCTACCTCGCCGAGCTCCAGCTGTAGAAGAGGGGTAAGTAAGGAGGTCTCCATACCATGGCTCGTACAAAGCAGACTGCCCACAAATCTACCGGTAGTAAAGCACCCAGGAAGCAACTGGCTACAAAAGCCGCTGGCAAGAGTGCGCCCTCTACTGGAGGGGTGAAGAAACCTCATTGTTACAGGCCTGGTACTGTGGCACTCCATGAAATTAGACGTTATCAGAAGTCCACCGAACTTCTGATTCGCAAACTTCCCTTCCAGCGTCTGGTGCGAGAAATTGCTCAGGACTTCAAAACAGATCTGCGCTTCCAGAGTGCAGCTATTGGTGCTTTGCAGGAGGCAAGTGAGGCCTATCTGGTTGGCCTTTTTGAAGATACCAACCGGTGTGCTATCCATGCTAAACGTGTAACAATTATGCCAAAAGACATCCAGCTAGCATGCCACATACGTGGAGAACGTGCTTAAGAATCCACTATGATGGGAAACATTTCATTCTTTTAAAAAAAAAAATTTCTCTTCTTCCTGTTATTGGTAGTTCTGAATGTTAGTTATTTTTTTTCCCATGGGGTCAGAAGGTACCTAAGTACATGATTGCAAGTGGGAAAATAGGAGACAGAAATCAGGTACTGGCAGTTTTTCCATTTTCATTTGTATGTGAATTTTTAACATAAATGCGGGGGACAAAGCATTAATGCAAGTCAAAAGTTTCAGTGAACAAGTTTCAGCAGTTCAACTTTATAATGATTATAAATAAACCTGTTAAATTTTTCTGGACAATGCCAGCATTTGGATTTTTTTTAAACAAGTAAATTTCTTATTGATGGCAAAAAAAAAAAAGGGATATGGTCTGTCAAGACCCTTTGCCATAAGGAACAGAACATTAAAAACCTCCAAATGAAAGAAAAATTCTACAAGATTAGGCAATTTATTGTCATTAAAAAAATTGTGAAATATCAAACATAGAAAAGAGTATATGAAACATTTATGAGTATGTACAGTTTAAAAATTAATGACAAAGTAAACATCTATGAAACCACCACAAAGAGGAAAGAAATAGTATATTTCCAGCATCCCCAAAACACCATGCCCATGTGCCTCTACACAATCTCAACTCTCTCTACCTAGAAGTGAGCAGTGATCATTTCCTTACTTTTGTAGTCAGCAGGGTAGTTCTCTGGAGCTCACCTGACCAATCAGATTCAGATTTGGCCATAAGTGTAAGGAGTGGGGTCAACACATTAAAGATGTTGGCTACCTGACTGGCTGTCGTGAGAAGGACCTCAAACAGGGAAAATGGCGATTATCTTCCAGCTCTGACCTTGAAGCCACACACCTGTCTGTTCCCCATATGCCTCTGACACAAGTTACCATCGCTCCGCTGGAGCCCAAGGTGAGTGCCTACGAGCAAGTGAGTCTGTGTGCCGGCTGTTTAAGAGGACGTCTGGGTTGCTCACAGTCTTCTGTCCCACTTGGATTGTTGTAATTTTCATGCTTTTCACAGTTGTGAGGGTTCCTCTTCTTGGCACCAGTACTCTGGGCTGTGGAGCCTGGAGTGGGCCTGGGGTCCTTCACTCCTCTGGGGGGAACCTGAGTGGCCAAGGTTTCCCTCCCTGTTTTTAAAGGCCAAAGGAGGTTTAGGACCAGCCTGGTTCGTGTCTCTGCCTTCTACCAGTCTTGACGTGGCTTTTTCTTTATATCCTTAGTTACAAAACTTCTGTTCAGACTGACTTCAGATGGTTCTCCAGGTTGATTTTTCTATAATTTAGTTGTAATTTTAATGTGTTCATGGAAGGAAGCAGACATGGTGTTTATCTAGGCCAGTATCTTGGATCTCCTCTTATTATCTTTTTTGTTTGGAAGATTCATCTATATTATGTCTAGAACAACTTACTTATTTTGATTGCTGTATAATATTACACTGCATGAAATATACCATTTATAACAGTCTAGTTATCCATTTAACTGCTGATGAACATTTGGGTTGTTCTCAGTTTCTGACTCTTACGAGAAACGCTGGAGTGAACATTCATGCACTTGTATTTTGGTATACATAGGCATGCATTTGTTCAGGGTGTATTCCTAGGAATAGATGATAACACAAGGACGTATACAAATTCTAGTTTTCTAGATAATGTTGAAAAATTACCATAATGGTTGTGCCAATTTGTGCTACTCTGAGAGTTCCCAGTGCTTCTTATCTATGTAACACTTGGCATTTCCAATTATTAACTTTTTGTCACTCTGCTGAATATGTAATGGTATTTTTCCCTGTGGTTTTGTTATTTCCCTAACCATGAAAGGCTTTTCACAGCTTTTCATATGTTTACTAGCCATTTGGTTATCCTCTTTTATGAAATGCCTAGGCAAGCCTTTTGCCATTTTTTTTAATGGGAATTGTTGGTCTTTTTCCTGTTGATTCACGAGATTTCATTATTATTTCCTTCACTTACACCAACAAATCTGTATTGAGTGCCTGCTATGTTTGGGGCATATTTTAGGTCTTTAGGCTACATCAGTGAACCAACAGCAAAGATCCTGACCTTGTAGAGTTTACATTCTAAGAAGAGAGAGAAATAATAGACAGGAAACATTATAAAGAAGCAAGTAATTGGGTATGTAAGGAGAAAAAGAATACTATAAAAAAAGGAGGATAGTCTAAGAGGCATTAGAAATGCTGGAAGTTGAAGAACTATTGCCCTCATTGACATGTAACCTTTGAGCAGAGGCTTGAAGGGGTGGCCTGAATAGTGAGCTAGGGGATAAAAGTAAGCCATGAGGTCAGAGAGGTAAGGGGGCAGAAGACAGATCATATAAGGCATTTGGGCCATTGTAAGGAGTTTAGTTTGTACTCTTAAGGAACTGAATAACCACCTCACCATTCCCTAAAACACCTCAATTACCTGATGACTGAATCAGACCACTGGACAACAGAGGGCAAGAACTTGCTGCTTAAAAGAAAAGGAAGTGATGCTGCCTTTTAAACTATAGATGTCCATAGCCCTAGAATTAGGGAAATGATGCCTAAGACCTAATGGATTTTGTTACTGTGGAATTAAACTCAGATGTGAGGTGTGTGTGTGTGTGTGTG